TAATGGATATCTAGGCAAGAACCAGGACTTCTGGAACAATGTGCTATGGACAGGTGAGTCAAAGACAGAGCTGTCTGGCCACAGTAACAGAAGCAATGTTTGGCACCAACCAAAGACAACATTTGATCAGAAAAACTATATGCCAACTGTAAAGCATAGTGGTGGAAATGGCTTTGGGCTGCTTTGCTGTCTCAGGGCCTGGACAACTTGCAATCATAGAATCAACTATGAATTATCTTTCATACCAGGGAATGCTTGAGGAGAATGTGAGATGGTCCCAAAGTAATTCCGCCAAATAACGGTTCAAAAGGAAGAAATAGAGTGTTCTGGAATGTCCTAGACAAAGCCCAGGTCTGAATCCCATTGAAATGCCGTGGGGGGATTTGAAACAGGCTGTACATACAAGAAACCCCTCAAACCCCTCCAAGAATTCTGCACGGAGGAATGGGCAATAATTTCTTCCAGTAGATGTTAGAAACTGGTAGTCAGTTATAGGAAATGCCTACATAAAGTTGTTTCTGCCAAAAGGGGGCAGCACCAGTTACTGAAGCCAGGGGTGTATTTACTTTTTCAACAGAAAACAATTATGTCTCAGTTTTAAATAAATAATTACAAAGTCAAATTTTCATTGTTTTTTGTTGTTCTATTAGATAACATTTTGTTCTATTACATAACGTTTTGCTCTATTACAGAAATATTACATAGAGAAACATTTCATGAGGTGTACTTACTTACATGACTGTAGTTATACATTTACTTTGCTGCATGTTGTTGTTGGACCCCCACAGGTCACATTTGCACCCCTGACTTTACCACTGAGTTTGTACAAAGCTGAACAACTTCTTTTCATTTAGCCTTTCAGTGTCTCCAGTCCATTTTTTTCCAGATCAGACCAACAGACAAGTAACAAATTAAAGGAAAAACTAAATATACGATACAGAAACATAACTAGCAGCTCTTTGCCCACAGGTGTAATGTATGAACAACAGGATCCTGGCATGCTCTGTGGAATGTATGACAATCTTGAAAAGGCCTAGCTGACCTTGATTTTATAATAAGGTGGCAAGAAGAAAAGACTGAATAGCTTGAAAGAGGGATGATCATTGGTGCATATGTAAGAAAAAAATAAAGGACCAATTGTTTCTCGGGACATGATCAGACTATTCCAGCAAGAACAGCTCACCCTACATAGAGAGGCATATTCTCTACAAGTGGGCGAGGGCATGTGCAGCATACACCAAGAGAACAGTACAGGTCTGAATGCTTGAAAATTGAGAGGGTCCAGAGGCTCTGTTAAGCTGTTGAGAGCTGATTACTGGCATTGTTTGAGTCCCTTTATCCAATTAGAAGGAAGGGTCGCTCTAAATCAATACAAAGTTGTTCTGACTGATCACTTTTACAATTTGGACCATTGTTTAGACAGTGCTCCCCACCGGCATCATCAAAACAGCAATTGAGGGAATAGCTTTTGGAAGAATCCCTTCAGTACAGTTCCAGAAACTTGTCAAATCTATTCCCCAACGCTTTACTAAGATATTATGTCAGATCAGGGTCAAGTAGGTGGTGAAAAGGGATGGACGTATGCTGTGAACAACTGCATGCGAATGGCTTGGGTTTTATTAAGTCATTTATAAATCCTAGGAGTTGTGGTATTTGGGGTTAATATTGTTTGGTGTGCCAGACACTGAAAAGGTTTATTTTTGAGCCAAAACAATCTGTGTAACATATGAAGAATCAGAACATTTTAAACTGAAAATTGAACCGTGACCTCAGTGTGAGAAATCATATTAAACCTGAAAATATGTGGCTCATTATACTCATACTCTATCCTTCCCTTTTTTAACCAATGCTTCATTCATTAGCACTCATTACATATTAATGTTGGTTCATAATAACAAACTTCCATCCATGGATATGATGACTTTCTGTACAGGGTTAACCTACGTGAAACCTCAATACTCATTTATAGTTTGCCACCTGTGGTTTAGCGTGTTGACACACAGAAAAAAAACACACAGAAAGGCACCTTCATGTTCTCCATTCTCCCCTGCCGTTATCACAGCTACAAGACAATTAAGGCCTTGCTTCTAATAATAAGACTAATCTCTACTGGTCCGACAAGTTGAGCTTGCAGCCACATAAGAAATGACGGTCACTGACAGGCAAATGAGCTGCCCATTTAAAGGGCAGAGAAAACAAGACCACTGAGTGGGGGACAGGAATGTGTGCCACCTTAAACCCACATCTAAAGACAAATGAGAGGCTTACAAGTGCAGTTCTGGCACTAAACATTACAAACAAGTGCACAGACAATCATAAGTAATATCACATTACAGAATCATATGCTTATATTAATGCATTCATGTGCAATAAGTAAAATTTGCATAGTGTAAAATGGCACAGGTGATGCTGATAGCGATTGGTGATTGGTCTTAAGTGATGACATTTTGTGTAGGTACACCTTTGATTAACAGTGAGACATATGTTCATACTCTTATTAACAATAAAATTGTTTTTTATTTTGTTAAAAAACAGTAGTCATGTGTGACCAAAATACTGAATTTAACACCTTTTCAGAGTAGCCATAAAATGCAATTTCTTGCAGTGTAAATACAGCAAGCATGGCGATTTTATTAAAAAAATGAATGAAAACTTACAGACTTGTTTTTATTTCTCAGGTATCATTAAGCCTTCTCTGAAGAACTAGAAGGCCCTCAGGTTCCCCACTGTGTTAAACATATCATTATAATCATATCAAAACCACATGTCCATTTTTTCTTTTAATTATTCTACATAATTTGAGCACAGCAGCTGCTTTTAACACTGTGTGAACATTTCATTTTGAATGGACCAATGGAAACGGTCCAAAATGACTGAATAAAAACTTACATTACATTAATAAAATCTTACATTCACATATATTAAAATTAAGAGTTTGGTTCCAACAATAGGATTCTGATATTGGCAGCAATGTCTTTTTGTCTTGACTGTTTACAAATTAAAACTTTAAAAAATTTATCACAGTAAAAACAATAGTTTTTCTCTGTTCATTTTGAATCTGACATTGGTTAATGTTATACACCTTTAGAATTTTTTTTTTTATATATTTGCAGTTGACATGATACCCCATTGGGTTTTTCCAGCTTGTGGCTTAACCAGCAAGCTGATTGACTCTTTTTGTTGAGGGGCTTGACTTTCCTTGTAAACAGACGCCATGTTGAGCATTATGATCTTTTCCCATTCATTCCAAACGGTGTGGTTTTTTTAATTGTTTCCTTTTTTTAAATTTTGCCAGATTGTTCACACAATGAAAAAAATGGGGAAAATATCTATCAATAGGTCCTTTGCTTCTCACAAAACAGCAAACTGTGACATTGTCCAAGATGCTTCCACTTTGGAAAAGCGTTTGGCTTTTCCCACTTGGTGGCTTAAACAGCAAACTGAGTGGCTTTTTATTGGTCAAGACTTTCCCCATAACGAGACGCCATGTTGGGCGTTATGAGTTTTCCTATTCTTATTTCAACCAGTGACCAGTCTCCTCTTTTATAACGTCTCTGAAATAACTTGTCAATTCCCATTGCGCCAGTGAAATGCCCACTAGGGGGTCTGCAGAAAACGGCTACCGTGATACATTAAGTGACAACTCATGTTTTAACCATACAGTTTGATCAGTTTGAATATTTTCTTCAGATTGAAGAAAACTCAGAGGACATATGGACCATGAACATTAATATCCAGCAGTAATCTTGTATTACTGCTGAGGGGGTACAATACTCTTTCATTTGTTGCAAAGATTTGTACTCCCTAAAGAGAACCACTGAATTTGACGTTTTGGTAGAAAACATAGGCCTGTTACAGTATCACCTACACACTATTACTAGGGAATAAACATTCTCCTTCATTGAAAAGTCATATACACATATAAACCCACATAGAAACAAAAGACTTGCAAATGTAATCTTGTCTGTAAGCAATCTTATGTCAGACAATTTAAGCATGGATACTTACATTATACTGTGCTGTATTACTGCTTAATGGGTTTTCTATTGGTGTTGCAACAATTTTTTAGTCTCAAATTTTAATCACTGTACTTGATATATTGGTAGAAAATATGAGCCTATTACATACATCTACAATATGGCCATACCAATGACTGTGAAACATTTATTTTGTGAAAAATCTTCTCCTTCATTAAAAAGTCAGTGTGGGGAGCGAGGCTGGAATAAAGTGAGACATCTGGTGAATCCTTAGAATAAAATGTGTTTCATCTGAGTTGCACTTAAGCCGCAGTGCCACTCCAGCAATAAACAATTCATCAAAAAAAGAAAGCTTCTCAGTGTAAAAGCCTCGCAAAATCTCCTTCATTATCACATTAGTTCTTCCCTACAATCTTAAAAATAAAGGTGCCAGAAAATGTTCTTTGAAACAATGCCACAGAGGAACCACTGTTGGGTTCCTAAAGAAGCTTTCAATTGAGATTTTTGCAGAACCATTCATCTTCTCTTGGTTTAGTCTTTAGTGCTTCCACTGACCAGTCTATTCATCGTTTTGACCCACATGCAAGTGTCAGGGGATGCTGACTGAGCACTGAAGGTTTATTGTTATTGCCAGTTACCTGTGTAGTGAGGTTTTTACAACACTCCCTGCACTCCAGGCTCCCAGAAAAGAGCTGGCATATTACTGAAAGCAGGACATTATGTGGATGATAACGTAGCTTAAATGTGTAAATAACCCTTTATTTTTACAAATTTATGTAGCTTACTGACATAACGTGAAACAAATATATGAAAATTTCGGCATGTATCTGAGAAACAGCTTGGGTGACTATTGACTCTTCCAACTTCTCCAAATGTTAGTACCATTAGCCTAGTAGCTACAGTTCTAAACTAAAGAACACCTTGGTTGATCAACTGCATTTGGGGTAAGTTTTTTGCCAAACTATTCCTTTATGAACACTTTTTGACACCTTATTTTTAAACATTTATCCCAGTAAAAGTGACCTACATCATGACCTCAGGCCTTTCTGCTAGTCTGAGCGCCTCATGCATACTGGCTGCTGAGAGTTTACGGTTGATGTTACGATATCGACAGCAGATGATGTTCTGGTAGGTGGTCCTGAGGTCTCTGTTGAAGAAGGCGTAGATGAAGGGGTTGATGAGGGAGTTGGCATATCCCAGCCAGAGCAGGGTCCTCTCCACCCATAAGGGCACGCAGCTGCACGTCACGCCGCAGATGAAGGGCCGTGCGGTTGACAACAGAAAGAAAGGCAGCCAGCACACACTGAAGGCCCCCACCACTATACCCAAAGTAGCTGCTGCTTTCTGCTCACGCTTGAAGATGGAGATGTTCCTGCGGTCACTCCTCAAAAGACGAGCAAAGCTCGCACAGTCCTCAGCATCCCTCTGGAGCTTCAGTACGGCCGAAACACAGTCTACGCTGGCTTCCTCAGCCTTAGGTATGATGGCGATGGCATGCTTGGCCACACTCACTTTAGCCGCCCTGTATATCCTGTAGTACATGATTAGCATGACGGACATTGGGATGTAGAAGGCCACGGCTGTGGAGTAGATGGTGTAGCCCAAGTCTTGGCTGATCAAGCACACGTTGTCGTCGTTCACGTTCTGTGCCCATCCAAACAAAGGAGGTAGTGTGATTGAAGCAGACAGGAGCCATACTGACAGCACTATCTTGGCCATACACTTTCCACTCTGTCTCACAGGATATGTCAGTGGCTTTGTTATGCCAAGATACCTACAGAGGGATAGAAATGAGATGAAATGAGAGAGCTATTCCATTGGAATACATACATACATCATCTAAACCGCTTATCCTTCTGGGTCGCGGTGGGGTGCTGGAGCCTATCCCAGCTGTCATTGGGCGGAAGGCAGGATACACCCTGGACAGGTCGCCAGTCCATCGCACGGCAGACAGACAGACATACACAGTCACACACTCACTCACACCTAGGGGCAATTTAGCATGTCCAATTGGCCGGACTGCATGTTTTTGGACTGTGGGAGGAAACCGGAGTACCCGGAGGAAACCCACGCAGACACGGGGAGAACATGCAAACTCCACACAGAAATGACCCTGGTCGCCTGACCGGGAATCGAACCCAGGCCATTCTTGCTGTGAGGCAACAGCGCTACCCACTGCGCCACCGTGCCGCCCTATTCCATTGGAATAACATCAAAAAATGTTACAATGTTTTTGTACATACTGTTATAAAATTATGGAGAAAAAGTATGGACCATTCTACCGAATTAGTTTAAATTGTGGTCCCAAAGTAAAAAATCTATTTAAAAAAAAGATAATTAAACATTCAGGCCTTAGATAATTATAAGGATCAATTTAATCAATTTTATGATCTATTTAAATGCAAGGCATTAATTGAACTCTAACCCCTAAATTTTAACAAGAAAATAATGTGTACTTTTTCCAGTGCTGTTTTAAAAAGATCGTTTTGATTTCTTTTAAAGTGAAGTTGAAAGATTTTGGTTTTATTTTTAAATAAAAACTAATCAATAACTTTAATAAGTTTTAATAAGTTATTTTAGCCACAACTGCTTTTTAGAGCAGTGAGACTGCATCCCTGTCCCTCATGGCCACATGGTGAGCTATTAGATCCTATTGTTTTGAAGTAAATGTGTCCCACAGTCTGGAAATCAGTGTTTAGTATCACGAATTGTCACTATCAAACACATTTGTACAAAGCTGTGTTTGCCAAAATATGTTTTGAACTTTGAACCATTTCAGTAGAATGATGCATATAACACTAATTTGTACTGATGGAGACAAGCTGCTCTTCCATAACTGCTTATTTTGCATTATGTATGAACAAAAACAAGTTTGCTGTGTAGAATTAACACATCTCAATGTTCATTCATGTTTAGCTGGACACAAGCACTGAAGAATTATTTGATTCAAATGTGTACAGCATTTCCACATTAAAAAACATATTACTTCCACACAGTTTTGATGTTCAGTTACTCTTAACAACTGTGTTGATGTAATATAGGTTATTCATGTAGAAATGATATACACATCTGAATCAAGTTCAAGAATCAAACTCAATGCACCACTTCATCTTTTCAGTTCAAACACTGCAGTTGTGAATGATGCCACACTGGAGATTATCGTCTATACTTATAACATACAATTCTTCATGTGAATTTTGTCTAAAGGCTGTGATTTTTTTTTAAGTGTTCGTTTCCAATAAGTATGCTATGTACAGAAGTTTGGAATAACTTGTCATATTAATAATTGCTGTTATTTTATGCAGTAACAACATATACAATGTACATTTTATGTATTATTTATTTTTATATTTCACATTTTTTGGAATAAAGATCAAGAAGTTACTAAATTATACTATAATAATTTATTGTCTTTTTATTTACTTAATTTACAGTCATTTTTTGATCCGGTGTTTTTCTATGATTTGATCACCACTTTTCAAACACAAGGCATTCTGGACATTAATCTTCTTGTTATTCTGAATGTTAAAATGCTTTTTCGGTCATTATGGAATTATGTACAGCTCTGTTTAGCATTCATCTAAAATGTTTCACTTTCAAAGTCTGGTTCTATTGACTTACATTCAAAGCAGAGTATGTTTTTTCCTTCTCCTGTAAAGTTCTCATTTTGGAGTTATGAGGTTTTGTTCCAACAACAGTGACATGTAATGTTGAAAATGGTAAAACAATGTCAAATCCTTAAAATTAGTTTTCTTTGGGTTTCTATTTTGCCTCACAACACCTGCATGTACCTGTCTTCCATGAATTGTACATTTTAGGTCAAAATGTTACTAAACAATGATTGAGGCATCAGGCCATGCATACATAACCATTTCACCATAATAACTTTCTGTGAGGGAGCTTTTAAAAGGCTTCAGACATCTGGTTCCTATCACCATTGCAGTGAACAATTCTGAATTGGTATGTGTCTCTACACTCTTAAAAAGGGCGGGTCTTGAAGGGTTCTTTAGAAAAGACAATGGTTCTGCATAGAACCACAAACACTTAAAGAACCATTTGCATGTTCAAACAATTCTTTGCATGGTGGAATGGCTCTTCAGACTGATGGATGGAGAATGTGCTTTATATGGTTTTCTATAGCACATTTTCAAAAATGTTCTATCAGTCTATATAGAACCATTGTCTTTGCTAAAGAACCCTTAAAGAACCATCTTTTTTAAAAGTGTATGACAGCCCATTTCAGATCAAACTACTCTAAATTACTTACATCTCAACCATTTAATTAAGCAGAAACTTTAAAAAATGGGTGGAATTCCCCTTTGACAGTGTGTTTACATGAGCTGGACTCATGTAATCAGTGCAAGTGAGAAGACAGTGGAGAGTTGTACAGTATAGTCTCAAGAAAAGTGAGATTCACCTGTCTATACTGATCACACAGAGAGTCATTATTGACGCTGTACAACACATCACGTCCATAGCGATGAAGACGTTACAGAAAACGCGCCCAAAGATCCACTGTCCTCCTATGAGGTCAGTGATGCTCACAAAAGGCATCACAGCCACAGCCACGGACAGGTCCGCCACGGCCAGAGACACGATCAGGTAGTTGGAGGGTTGTTTCAGCTTCTTCACGAAGCACACGGAAATGACCACCAGCAAATTTCCACAGATGGTTAAGAAGGTGAGCATGGTCAGAATTCCTCCTATGAGCACTTTCTCCGTCTTCCCATAGCTCAGGATTTGCTCCCCACAGCTGGTTTCATTCTCCATAAAACTTGAAGCTGTAGTCGTCGCTGTGTCCTGCGCTGGCCCTACACGCACGTCCAGGATCTTGGACGTCAGGCTGGACATGACAAGTTCCTGCACGCCGTCTTCACTCCGGGAGGATCTCATTCCGCCAGCTGTGAACTGTCCTCGGTGCTGAAATCAAGCTGTTCGCCCAGTCTAGTGCTCATATCGAATAAAGACTTCTGGTAAAGTTTCAAGTGTCATTTCCTTCACAATGGGCAGCGCCTGCCCCTCTAATCTCCTTACATTTCCTTAAGTGGTCACGATACAGCAGCCAACACTGACAACTTCCCACTGCGCCTGAGAGCTGCTTTCCCTGAAGGACTTTATGCGCCGAGTGACGTCACAGCTCCCCTCAGCGCGTCTGCCTCTTTTAGATGACGCTTGAATTCAACTTTAGCCTAAACTAAAACATCAAATAGAGAACCAAACACTGTTAATGCTACACTGAGTATCCTCTGTGATGAACATGAGGTTGGATATAATTCGCTCTTCTAGGCATATTAGAAAAGCGCTTGTAGTTTCTTTTGGGAGACTGACTCTACTGCCATCTCCTGGCCTTACAGATAATTACAGGATGGTCCATAAAAGTCCAGCGGGTTAAGGATGAACATATTTGTTTTTACACTTGGAAGTCATTTTGGAAGTTTTGTATTTTGCTCATGTATCACTGAAACTGAACACCTGCAAAGATGTTTTAGAGAGAAAAATACATTTTTACCATGTTCATTTAGATCTTCAAAGCACATCTGAAAAGCAGATTTTTTTTTAGTCCATCATTTGAGTTATATTACTAATTCTGCACAGTGACCTCAGACTGAAGACACTACGGACAATGCATTCTTGGCATTGCAAATCATTTTGAATTGTTCAGTCGCTCTTTTTTCCCTTCTTTCTTTCTTGTGTGGGGAAATTAAAAATAAATACTTGCTGAGATAAAATGAATGTCTGCTACAGTTTCCCTATGGAATCAATAATAGTGAGAGCCTAAACACAGGTCATCTTTAGCTTCTGTGAACACCACATTGTGAAAAGACATAACGCAGGCTGAACGAATAAGGCTGTGTCTAGTTGAGCACTGTGGCATATCCTGGCACTGACCACGCTGCCGTAGGAGCGTGAGAGGCGTGACCATGTAAAGCAGCCATGCGAAGGGGCTCTCGGGAGGAGCTGAGCTGGTGGTATGAGAGACTTTAATTTTGGTTGTCTAAGTTGTTGTTGTTGTTAGCTTAACAGTACAGCAGTGTTGGCTGTGTGATTCTGTGCTGGGTTTTAGGGTAGTTGGGTGGGTTAGCGTCTACTATGAAGGCAAGTTGTGTGGTTAGAACATGCCTGCTTCCCAGCCATGTCAGTAAGTGCTGAGTGGTGGTTTTCTCTTGCTGTCAGTTTGATAAAAGAGCGTTCGCCTTAAAAGCACACTGTTTCCCACAGCTTCTTCTTTTTCACTGGCACTACAGTCTGGTACCTCGCTGTGTGACTGTGAAACCACATACTACACTAATGAAAGGATTTCTATTGTTGGCATACTAGTTTTGACATGCTAATAGTATAGTAGTATATGGTTTTGGACACAGCATTTTCAATATTGCATTTAATTAAAATATGAAAATGCACTTCAAGTACAATAATCTTGCCTTACACCTTAGTACAACCATGTCTTTAACAGGTTTGAGATAAACCCCAGTTAAACCTGATATACAGTGGCATCTAGCACCATCTAGTGGCAGACGTGTGATTTTAATGACCCAGCAATTGGGTTTAGTGTAAACCGCAGCTGTGCTTTAAACTGCAGCTTTGAAGGATACAGCAGTGGAGCTTAAGAACCTACGCGACTCATTTGGGTTTAAACTCTGATTAAACACTACACCACAGCTAAGCTAATGACATTGCAATGGCCCCAAAGAGTACGCCATCAGTTTGATATTTAAGTAACATGGTTGTACACAATGTTAAAGTGATTTTGTTAAAAAAAAAAATCCTAATTCTTAACTGTATTTGTTAAACATTTACTTTTTTATACTTGAGTATGTTTAAATGCAGCTCACTTTGGCTCCATTTTCACTATTACTTGAGTGAGATTTTCACGTGTTCACACTTTAAATTGAGTACTTTTTCTGCTGCAGAAAATGGGTTAAAATATTATGTTGTTAATTACCTCAGATTTTGACACTGTACACTTTTTACCACCGATTTCTTCAGGTGTATGAAGGAATTAGTTTAGCGTCATTCAGATTTCGCAGCGATTAAAGGCAATGTCACTCACCTACATCCGACTTTACAGCTAAACAGACTTTTAACTGTCATCTGGTGTAGAAGGCCTGTTTTATTGAAGATTTACAATTTACTGTCCCCAATGTTCACCATATTATACTTCTGAGAATCAAGAAGAACATTTAGACTCTTTAAATGTGTCCTATACTGCATCATATAAAGTCTCCGTTTGAACTGGCTCAGATCAGTGGTTCTAAACATGGTCTCAGGGCCCCCCAGACAACCCACACTTTTCCTTGATCTGTACATGTTGCAAGTTGGCTTAGCTAGTTAGTGAAACTCCACTGAGAAACTGTGTGAAAATCTAACTTAATGATATTTTAGACCAATAGGCTAAAGGAGGTATTTTTCCATTGTCACTGGGGGACTTCTTGCTAAAATAAAAATGTAAAGGTCTTCAAAGCCCTCATGTAACCTGCTGTGATATAAAAATTTCCTGACCACCCAAAAAGGTAAGGGCCCACCAAACATTTGTGACCAGGGATCGATAACATGATCATCCAGGTCTGATTATTGCTGTAGAGCAGGGATGGCACTGTTCGGTGCGGTTTGGTGATCTTGCTGCTCTAAGACATTAACTAAACCAAGTAATTAAGTGAGATTGAACAAGAAAATCACCAAGCCGAGCAGGAATCAGGCCCTCCAGGACCAGCAGTAGAGGAAGTGCAGGGAAAAGTCTCTATGTCACCCTCTGGTGGCGAGCAGGAGGGACTGCAGTTTTTACAGCAGTGCTATGTATTTGGGCGTTTGGGTTAATCTCACAACCCTGACAAATACTGACACCCAACTTTTAAGACTAAAGCAGTGCTTAAAACAATGTCTTTTTTTGTGGATATTAAAATAAAATTAAAAGAAAAGAAATTCAAAGAAAAACAAAACAATGATTTCATTGATTTTAATTAAATTTTTAGTAACATTTTCCAAATTACTCATTATTGCAACATGATGTTTGAAAATCCCAACTTTTCTTTTTATAATCTACATACTGTTGTTGTACTAAGTATTTTAAAGGGAATAAAACATCTACTTTACAACATATAGTATTTTATAATTTTATCTCATTAGGACTGAAGTGACTAACCCCTTAAAATTCCAGTCTCATTACATACTAAGGCTTATTGTTCACTAACTACAGGGACTTCAGCGCAAACTGCCTGAGCTATTCTTAGGTAATACAAGTGTGTAATAAAACTTTGGGTGCTGGCCATGGTTAACTACAGGGACTTCAGTGCAAACTGCCTGAGCTATTCTAAGGTAATACAAGTGTGTAATAAAACTTTGGGTGCTGGCCATGGTTAACGGGAATGCTTTCAAGTGGATGTGTCGAAATGGTGATATGAAAAAAATCCACAATTTTTTAATCAAGAATTTATGTAATATTTAGTGGAAGTGGAAAAGCAGAGACTTCTTCCTGGTCACAACACCAAAAATGTAGAAGCACTTCCTCTGTCCACAGCTGTTTTCTTTGGTACACAATGAAGATCTACTGAAACTTTTTAAAAAAGAGCCATAAAACCAGTAAGTGAAAAATAATAGATTTTATTTGTAAGTTCTAAATATTGTGAAATTTACTTCAACCTAATAAAAAACATAAGTAAATAAAAATGAATGTAGTCTTAACAATTAGAGATGTAAGAACTGGAAACACAAAAGAAAAAGTTTTTGAAATTGGAAAATGAGAATTTACTGAGCCAGGGTTTGATTCCCCAGCTGGGCGACCAGGGTCCTCTCTGTGTGGAGTTTGCATGTTCTCCCCGTGTCTGCATGGGTTTCCTCCCACAGTCCAAAGACATGCATTCAGGCCAATTGGAGATGCTAAATTGCCCCTATGTGTGAGTGTATGTGAATGTAGATGTCTGTGTATCTGCCCTGTGATGGACCAGTGATTGTCCAGGGCCTTCCGCTTTTACAGTTTTGCGAACACACTATGAATTCATATTGCTCCAACACGCCGCGCTATCAGATTTTTTTTTGTCCCTCTACGTTAGCGAAGCAAACAGAGCGCTAAAAAGAAGCAACGGCTTTGAACTGGATCAGATTTACTTTAGTCGATACCTCATCCATTAAATATCCCGAGATCACAGATAATCCAACAGCTATACAAAATCCCATAAATGTGGTAAGAAAAGTACAAACATCACAAAATGAAGAACAGGTGGATAATCAGAGAGAGAGAGAGAGAGATCTAAATACTTCCTCGTTGGTGATGAGTAGATGTGATACTCCATTTCCTCATACACTGGCCAATGTTTAGGGTCTCTGGTTATGGAGAACAGTGACTGAACCTGAAAAACACACACATACAGGAACACATACAAATAGATAGAAAAATGAAGAAGCCATTACTATAATAATGAAAAAGGGATGTAAGAAGACAGAGTCTAAAGGTCCTGCAGCTATTAACATCCTGGAGGTGGTCCTGGTGGTCTGGGTGAAAACACAGAAGGTGCTGGTGCCTCAAGGGTTTGGGCATCTCTGGAGTCGAGACACCTGAAGCAGCCATCCGGATTGACGGAAACCTCCCTAAACACTCTGGACACCTTGGTCCAAAAGCCTTATAATCCAAGTTAGTTTATAGCTTTACTTTGATGCAGGCCACAGCTCTGGTGCTGGCAAGATGCAGGGGAGGAAGCTGTAAACACGGTGAAAGACATGAGGTTGAAAGAAAGAAACTGTAGCACATCTTTTCACATTAAAATCATTTCACATTTCACATAAAAAATCATTTTCAATGACTCAGCCCTACCTGTAGTGAGAGCACGTGAGAGTCCACCAGTGCTCAGACTCCAGACCGCTGTAAATGGCCTTGTGCTGGAGGTTCACTTCCACCAGCTGCAGGAATCAAATAGAAAA